AAAAAAAAAAAAAAAAAAACCAAAAAAAAAAAAAAAACCAGGATAACTGGTTTAGAACCGGATTCCTAAAACCAATAAAAGGAGGAAGAAAAAAAAACAACAACAAACAAACAATGATGTTAATAAACATCTCTTGTCTAAACCCAACACTGTCTCAGATGACATATTGACATACTCAGATGGTGGAGAAAAAAAAATGTTGCATAATTTAGATCAGGAGTGAAACCGTTCGCGTGCCTCATGTCATTATACTTTATATTAAGATTTTAAAATCCACACCCACTAAAGGGTATATATAGAAAAAGGGATATCTTCTTAATGCACCTAAGGAAAGGCTAATTCACGGAACAGAACAAAACTTAACCAATGTCATATCATTGGATCTTCACGTATCTTTTTTTAAATTTTAAATTGATTTTTGTTTCAATTGAAAGAAGAAAGAGTACATTTAAAAAGTTTATTTGTGATAAATCGGGCATCCACGGGGGCCGGATTATTTGACGCGGAGGGCTGTGCATGCGGTCCAGCGGGTTGGTCACCCCCTGACTTAGCTAGTGTAGGCCCCCCCCCAGTGACTGTTTCTTTTCCCCGGGTCCACGTACACATGGTTCCACCACTGCCACGTTCAAGCTTTTTTTAAATTTTTTTAATAGCTTAGACTAACTACTTTTGGATGACGGTCCGCTTATTAATCAACGCTCAACACTTAAACACTTAAACACTTAAACACTTGATGAGCGTCGCTTCGTTTAGAACCAACACCCCCCCCCCCCCCCCCAAAAAAAAAGTATGAACTACATGTCAATCAATTGAGCTTGTCATGATCATTGTAAAGCCTTTCTTTTCAAACATTGCGGCTAATCAAAACGATGATGCAACTACACAAGATAAATATTGTTGCGTGTTATCGCGTTTAAACGATGGACAGGTGAGCGAACAGTCCGATTCTTTTGATGGAACATGGTAGCTTAGATCTTGAGTGAGACGATTGATGGGACGCTGTGTACCATAGAACTTGATAAAGAACTTGAATGGGATGATTGATGGGACACTGTACTCTGTACCATAGAACTCGATGAAGGCTGT